GGAAAAGCCAGCTTTCGGGCATTGGCTTCGCATATCTTGGCGTTCTTGATTTCGGTCAATATGTCAAAGTTCTGAGCATGGACTCCCTCAAGGGCATCCCTTCGGGATTCCCACCTCGCATGCTTCACCATATTTTTTGCCTGCTCCTGAATAGCCTCGATATCAACCTTGAACTGGGCCACCTTTTTATCAGCCTCAGTCTTGTCCGTGATGACCTCTAACTTGGTAGCCTCGAGCTCCTTGGCCAGATTCTCTTGACCAAAAACAACCGAGTTCAGCTGAGATTGGAGTCCCTCGATTGTTTTGGCATGCGCCAAATTCTTCTCCTTTGTAGCCCGAATCTGAGCCTCAGCTGAAGCCAACTGTGCCTGAGCAATCTCTTTCTTCGAGGCCAGGTGATCCATATTCTTTTTCCACTCTTCGGTCTCGGCTTTGACCGTATCCACCTCACCTCGGAGTTGCTCGATCACGATAAGTTTATTCAAAACATGTGTGTTCGGATTATTAGCTACTGAGTCGAACTTGTCATCACTAACTTCAAAAACTCTCCTTACCTGCTCGACCAGGTCGGTATGTTCCCTACGAGCCGCTTCAAGCTCAGCTTGGGATTTTTCACTAAGGAGCTTGTAAGCGTCCCTCTTTTCAGCAAGCTCACGGGCCTCAGCCTCGTAACGCTTTGACTCCTCCTGGTATCGAAGAAAGGCCTCGTGATGAAGTACCGAGGCCTGGAAACACAAAGGAAAACATTATGATTATTCATGATTAAAGCTAAATACATAATAAAGGGTCATTCGAAATTACCCGATTCAGCGCCTGTTGAGCTTCGTTGAATAGGCAGGGTGCCTCTACCTCGTTCATTTTGGTTTGATCCTCTTCGGTCACCAAGCACTGAAGGTAACTGGCAATCCCCACCGGGGCAGAAAGAACCCGGGCATCCTCCGGGATGGACATATAAATTGCCCATCTCCGAGTAGGATCAACACTCGGGACTGGGAACTGATTCACTAATTTTGGGCTCGAAGAGGACCCGTCGGCTCCCGAGGAAGATGCCTTTTTTGGTACCGGCAAGTCGCCCAATCCGGTAACATCCTCCGAGGCGGTAGAATCCAAGCCATCGAAGAAGTGGTGAAGAGAATCTACTGCTCCTTGGGCCCCTTCGCCGAGGTTACCTATCATGGTCTAGGCCTCGTTTATCATTGAATCGGTAAAAGAAGGCAACCCAAAGAGGTCAATCACGCCAAGCGCCTCCTTAGGCATATTATCTTCTGACCGGGAAGTACCGGCCAAATTCCCTTTGTCAACTTCCCCAACTCGGGGAAAAACGGTCTCGGCCCTCCCTGGTTCGGAGGCTTCGGCTGCTACTTCTTCTACGACCTCCATGGCTTGAGCCAGTTTAGAACCATTTCTCACACGGGCCACCAGATTAGAATCTTCTTCTTTTTCTTCGGACACATCCCTCAACTGATGGAGTGAGTCCGGTGAGAGCTCCCGAGCGCTGGCATCTTTGGTTTTGCGCGCCAGTCGTTGAGGTCTTTTCTTTTCAGGGTTCGAGGGACTCAGAGCTTTTCTTTTCTTCTCCTCTTTATCCTGCTTCGGAGTAGGGGGATCAGCGTGTATGTCGTCATCAGCTGATAGAGGCCTCATTTCGATGTCTTTTGGTAAACCTGCAAAAAGAAAATATAACGGATCAGAGACCAATGATGAGAAAATAAGATCAAATATGTTATTAGGGAAAAACTCTTATCATGATTACCGGCCTCCCATCGGCCCTTCGAGAGCTCATGCCATAAGCACTCAAAGTAAGGTCTCCATGTCACGATGCCCTCAACCCACTCTTTAAGTTCAGGAATGACGTCCGACATTTGGGCGACAACTGCATCACATAACATCGATGAGAAACAAACGAAATGACAAGCAATAAAAGAAATACTAAAGGCAAAATCATACTTACGTTTCATGTTCCATTTCTCTGAAAATGGCATGTCCATAGCCGGAATTAAGTCCGAGGTCCTCACTCGAACAAATTAACCAAGCCAGCCCCGGTCCCGATCCTCATCGATACTCGAGAACAAGGTCTTAGTGGCTCGGCGTGCGAGTTTGATTAATCCTCCTCGGTAAAGTCGAGGGTTGTACATGCGCATGAGATGATCGATGGTAAATGGACACCCCTCGACCTTGCTCACAAAGAATCAAAGCAGAATAACGATCCTAAAAAATGAAAGATGTATCTTCCCGAGCGCCACCTCATACCTTTTGCAAAAAGCTATGATAACCGAGTCTAAAGGACCTAGCATGAAAGGGTAAGTGTAAACACTTAAGAAACCCTTCATATAGGTGGTGATCGACTCCTCGGGGGTAGGAACCACTAGGAGTTTATCTTTCCAGTTGCAGTCCTTTTTGACTTTATCGAGGATACTAGCTATAATCGTACATATGTACCTCGAGACTGGCTCACACCGACCCGGTACCATAGGCGTATTCTCAACCTTGAAGTCATCCACGGTTGGGCACCCAGCAGGGATATACGACCTCAGAGGTGGTTCCTCAATAGCAGCGTGTGGAACATTTTCAGATGGTTTTGAAGAAGAAGAAGGTGTTTCTTTTTTAGGAACAGACTTTGAAGACTTTGCCATTTGTTTTATAGAAAATAAAGAAAAGAAATTGCCGGTAAGGAAAGCTTTAAGTCTAACAGTTAGAAAACCAGAAGGTGAAGGTGGTGAAGTTTTTTTAGAACATAAGAAGAATTTTAGTGTAAAAGTTCTAATAAACGGATTGAAAGATATTTATAGGTTTCTCAAGCGGTGGTTCACCTCTCGAAGTGGCCGACCGTCAACTGACACACATTTAATGCCTTGAAGATTGGACCGACGGGATATTTCAGTTACTTTTTTTTGCTTACGTCATGATTTATCGAAGTGAGAACCAAGGGTTCACATAGTTTTTCATGGCCTACTCTCCAAAAAATGAGGGAACTATCTGTATATGGGTAAAACCGAGCTCGATGCTTGATCGAGCATCTGGAACGGTAGGCCAGGCTAGACACATCTATAAGAGATCGAAGTTATGGATGAAACCGAGCTCGATATCGAGGTTCGAAGTTCGACATGGTCAGCCAAGATCGGAATATGATATTGTTGGACCTAAAAGTATCGTCAAAACATGCCATCAAGACCATCAGCTTTGCCCTCGAGTTTACCGAAGGCACGACCGATCCTGCTTTTAACGGCCTCGAAGAAAAGCTTCGCCAACTCATCCGACAAGGATCCGTGATTCTCGACATTAACCAATTATTATGGCAGAAATCACAAGATTAAGTCAAAAAAAGGGGCCAACGGTCTACAAAATCAAGGACTTATGTTTTTTATAAAATAATGTCTTAAAAGGAAGATCTCCCTTAATATATAATGGGAACTCAGTAATTCATGGGCAGGCATTGTAACATACTTAAAAGAACAACATACTATTGTTTCTAGCTTTATTCATACCATTCCGGCTTCAATAATATTATATCTAAGGTCGAAGGAGATTAAACTCACAAGGCCTAGGTTGTTCAACTTGCGTGGTTTGCAATTATCTTTCCATTGATTACTTCCACATTAAATCTGATTTCTTGCTTTGTATCAAATAGATCACGTATCCTTAAGACCGCGTATAAATTCAATTGTTATCCGATTTTGAGGGTGAACAATATTGTTGACTATCGTTATTACGGAGAATATCACATTCCCTTCTCCCCTCAAATAAATACTCCTATCATATAAGAGATACTTTATTACATAAAGCTGTATAGAGATACTTAAAATGACTTTTGAAATATTAGATTTAACGTTTTCCTCAATTGTTAAAATAAGAAAACTATTACTCATGATTTGCTAAAATATGTGTTTCAGCGAAGTAATTTCTAGTTATTAACCTCTTATACTTGATTTATCATTGAGGAGGTTCTAAGTATTGGGTTGGAATGCCTTCCAAAGAAGGAAAAAAGTGAGGTTGTAAACATGGAAATACATTTTTGGTCCAAAAAGAATGACACATTTCTATAATTGGTAATAATTCAGCTTTAAACTCTTTATTTTATCTATTTTACTCTTAATGAGAAGTTTTTATAACCACACAAATATCATGACCCTACAAAACTTTTACCCTTTAAGTTTTTAAGACAATAAGTTTTTAAAGTCTTTTTTTTTCCTTAAATTTCGTGCCAAGTTAAACTATTTCATCTATAATGAAACGGAGAGAGTAATAACTGTAGCACCACTATACAAAACAGAGAAACTTAAATGGCTTCATCCAGCCCATAAAGGTCCAAAAACCCAAAAATCTATATGTTGTGTATCTACACGTGAATCCCTCTACTGACAGTTGGATTATTCATCTATTTTGGCACTCGTTCGATGTTTACAGCAGTTAACTCAATTACAATAATAACAAAAACTTTACTCCATATTTCCTTTGTTCCGTCACATTTTTTCTTATTAATCGGTTTTTAAAAAGATACAATTTTATACTTTAAAACATTTTAACTTTAAATTCTTATCTCTTTACTTAATAATATATGGAAATATCATGATATATATATAGGACCATAATTTCTAAGAATAGTTTTCCAACCGTCGTATAAAATGAAGCGAAGGGAGTATCATCTTTAAAATTAATGACTTATGAAAAAATGGGATGAAGTAGAAGAAAATTCAAGAAAGAAAAGGAAACCCCCAAAATCATGCAACTTGGCGCTTGACACATTGCCATCTCTTAATTCACTTAAGTGTGGTAAGAGGGAGTATAAAATAAAGAATTTTTTTTGTAGAAATATAGTGGATAGCAGGTACATCACCTCCTCCATTTTCTCTTTATCTCGATCTTCTCTTTTTGGGTGTACTACCATTTCATAAATCATATTACTCTCCTGCTTCCAACATTCTGACCACCTTTTACTTGATTCTTTGTTTTTTTATTTCCAAGAATTCACTACAATTACCCAATTAAATACTTTCTACACAATGGTACTTGTATTTTTCATTGTAATTTTTAGCTATCTAGCAGGGATCTCACAAGGCCAACTAAGAGTTGGTTTTTATGGCAGCACATGTCCTAATGTTGAGCCCATTGTTAGTGCTGTTATACGTGAAGTTGCTGCCTCCAACCAAAATATTGCTCCCGTCTTGCTTAGGCTTCATTTCCACGACTGTTTTGTTCAGGTCATCATTTTTAATAAATTCTAGCGAATTCAAAATTTAGAGTCAGTAAGTTCATAATAAATAGTAGAATTCTTTTTTACATATGTGTAAGTGATTCGAGACGAAAGTTGTGAAATTATAGTTATTTTTGATGATGTACAGGGGTGTGATGGATCAATATTGATAGATAATGGAGATAATGCAGAGAGGCATGCATTTGGACATCAAGGGGTAGGAGGTTTTGAAGTGATAGAAAGAGCCAAAGCACAAGTAGAAGCAATGTGTCCTGGTGTTGTGTCTTGTGCTGATATTGTTGCTTTGGCTGCTAGGGATGCTGTTGTTTTGGTAAATTATTTTTTTAATTGAATTGTCTCATCAGTTATGTTTCAGTTCATTAACTACACTGTTGAACAAATTTGTAGCTTTTTCCTTTATTGTTTATACTAACATATGTGGTGGCAACAGGCGAATGGACCTTCATATGAGGTGGAAACAGGAAGAAGAGATGGAGTGATATCAAATTTATCATTAGCAGAAAATATGCCGGACATCAGCGATTCCATTCAGATATTAAAAGCTAAGTTCTTTGACAAAGGCCTCTCTGAGAAAGACCTTGTTGTGCTCAGTGGTACACTCTCTCTTATAATTTCATTTTTTATTTCCTTGTGGTTTTAATTGAACTTATTACTTCGTGCTCGAACCATACGTACACGTGTGAAAAAAGAATTTGTCTACATATAGTAATATCATATGAATTCTGAATTTACTAACTTTAGATTTTGAATTTGCTTTTGCTTTACACCGACCTAGAAAACCGAGAGAAAAAACCACAAACATGCGCACGCACACACAACACAACACAACACAGCACTGATAGTCACACTCAGTAATGCATATGTACATGCAGAGATTGTGGGTTTTGTAGGTTGGTAGACATTGAAGGGATGTGAACTTATATTGTCATTAGCTAAGCCACGATTTTGGAGCTTTCTATTTAAATAGGAGTACTATATTTTGGGCTTCTTAATTAAATCCTTAAGCCAGATTTTAAGGTAATTGTGACTTTCACCTTTGTCTTATACACCATTCAATTCATTTTAGTTATTAAATTCACTTGGAAAATGAGTTATTATAAGTAGGTTAAGTCAATGCAGTCAGATGAAATTCTTCACCCTTGGTCAGTAAATGCGACAAAATAAGAAAAAAGAAAGGCATATCTTTCCTTTCTGAGCGGTGAAAATGGGAAATAGCTAGTGTTTAGTAATTGAAGATCACGAGATCGCTTAATTAGGAAATGGACCACGTAAAAAACAATTTACACATGATATTCTTGATATCCAGAATACAATCACCAATTATTTACACATGCATGATTCTTATGTTCCTTTGATTTCATTACGCTATTATAAGCAGTTTTATCCAATTAATTATCATAATTAAGAGAAATGATGAATTTGCAGCTGCACATACAATTGGTACCACAGCATGTTTCTTCATGACCAAAAGGCTTTACAATTTCTTCCCTGGGGGAGGTTCTGATCCATCAATAAATCCCAGTCTCCTACCAGAATTAATGACTACTTGCCCACAAAATGGAAACGTTAATGTCCGATTACCGATAGATCAAGGCAGCAGCGACGCTTTTGACAACCAAATTTTGCAGAATATTAGGAATGGTTTTGCTGTGTTACAATCTGATGCTAGCTTATATGAAGATGTGGTAACAAGGAGTGTTGTGGATTCTTACTTTGGGATGTTTAGCCCATTTTTAGGGATATCATTTGAGGCTGATTTTGCCAATGCAATGGTGAAAATGGGTAGAATTAATGTGCTAACTGGCTTTCAAGGGACAATTAGACGTGTGTGTTCAGCTTTTTGATTGATATAATTGTAATTACTAGTCGTACCTTCTCATTGGGTCTTGCTTAAGCATTTTACTTTGTATGTTGTGGAAACTTAATGGTTCATTTTGGAGTGTGCAATGTCAGAATCCAACGATCTGAGAAGAGAAGTGTAGCACTCCGTAAATTCGAACTAGGTGTGGACGTGTTAAATTAGTATTAATGTGACATCTTAGACATATGAAGTCATATCGGAATGAGTAAAGGTGAAAAGAGTTATTTTGCAATCAACACGGAGAGTGAGGTGCATAAGATTTGATAAAATCGACTAAGTTTATGGAATATCTGTCTTCTTGAAGGATATCGTACAAATCTGTTGGGAAATTGAGAAAACGTAAAACATTAAGGTTGTAGCTCTTTGAAATAACTTTCCAACGATATATTGTGGAGCCCGAATGGATTTCTGAGTAAGATGTTATGTGTGTTTTACTGGACAATGCGCAGTATGCACGCCCAGATGGTCCCGTGCGCGGCCGCGCACTTGTGGCAGTGCTACTGCCCTGATGCGCATCCAGGTGCGCGGGAGCGCACCCGGGAATCATTTCTAAAGCCCTACTTTGTCCCCCACACCCCAAAACATAAAAACTTACTCTAGAAAGGGAAGCTCTCAAGAACCTAACTCCTCAAAGGTCTCTCCACCATCCAAGGTAAGTTCTAATGGTGATTCTAAGTTAATTTCAATTCCCCAACACATTATTAATATGGGTAAACCCTCCAAATCATTAGATATTTGATCGAGACATCATTGTTGAGAGAAGAAACCCTAGAATTCGAATTCAAAAGGATTGAACGTCAAAATATAATATCTTCACCCTCTAATTGATTATAGCATTGGATTAATGATTATAGACTCTAAGTCCATGAGATATGAGTTGATGAGTTTGATAGAAAAGCATGAACGGTTATAGATTTGGGTTGTTGGTTGTTGATTATTGATTATGGGTATTGTTTATCTTATGGGTGATGAAGAATGATGTTGATTATAACAATTTGAGATTTTAGAATTTATCTTGGAGCAAGAGAATGGGTTGTTGGGTGTAGAAATATCATTAATGAAGGTTATGAGGCTTTACGCCCATAAAGTGTTTGATAAAATGTCTAAGTGACCAAAACATGAGTATTATTGCTAATATGGAATCCCTTTGACTTGTATTGATGTAGATTAAAATTGAAAGGGTTGACGAATGTTATATTACGCTCAAGAGCAGGAAGTCAAGGTATGTGAGGCTAACTCTCTATGTTTGGGAATGTTAATGATTCTCCCTACACTACGTTTCTTTTACGACGTTACCAATTGCCTCAGAAATAAAGTTAAGCATAGTTCCTTGAATAGTTGCACAACTTCTATTCTCTAGATTCATAACTCGTTCATGACTTTCATTTCGAACGTTGTGGGCTCAGTGCGTAATCAATATAGACTTGTGATTGATTCTCATGAGTCTTAGTCTAGATTACTCAGCATGTTATAAATAGTTGAAGCTTCAGTTCTCATAATCAGTTCATGAATACTTGTATCAGTCTAGTCCTATTCAGAATTTCAGTATCATGTAACTCAATATGATTCAGTATTTCAGCATCACGTATTGCAGTATGATTCTCAGTTCCTTATTTAAATTAATGTTAAACACCTGTATTTGGGCCTGAGACCGTAGTTTATATGCTTTATGCATATTTGGGCCTGAGCCCGTAGTTTATGCTTTATGAATGTTTGGGCCTGAGGCCGTAATTTATGCTTTATGCATATTTGGGCCTAAGCCCGTAGTTTATGCTTTATGAATGTTTGGGCCTGAGGCCGTAATTTATGCTTTATGCATATTTGGGCCTAAGCCCGTAGTTTATGCTTTATGCATGTTTGGGCCTGAGGCCGTAGTTTATGCTGTATATATTTTTGGGCTTGAGGCCGTAGTTATGTATACGTTTACTTGGGCCTAAGGCCGTAGCTTGTGCATATATATATTAGGCCCAAGGTCGTAGTTTATTTAGATAAACAGGTTGTTCATCATTCAGATGAGGGATTATTCATATCCTTACTTCCTTTGTTCAGTTCAATTATTAGTTATCATTTCAGTTATCAGTTATCAGTTATTAGTTTCAGTTTCAATAGCTATCATTTAAGTTATCAATTATCAATTCTCAGTTATCAGCTCAGTATCAGTTTCAGCATTTATATTTTTTTTTTTCAGTTGCTTTACATACCAGTGCAATTCAAATGTACTGACGTCCCTTTTGCCCGGGGCCTGCATCTCACGATGCAGGTAATGATTTACAGGTTGACGATTGAGAGCACTAGGATTCTCGTACCAGCTATTTGGTGAGCCCCAATTTTTCGGGGGCAATATCATTACTTTATAGTTTTTCAATATTTACAGATAGTCAGTGTTTTTAGTAATTCATTAGAGGCTTCATAGACTAGAATAACAGTTAGATAGAGTCGAAGGCTTTTCATGTTAAGCTATGTTGGATACAAATATGTTTCAGAATTATATTAGTATTTCCGCACTTGATTTATATCATTCACACTTTTAGTATATCAGCATGTGTAGTTTATCTTCTGCATTGAGTATGTTATGATATCACATATTGATTCAGCCAGCCAGTTGGTTTGCTCGGTCGCATGTAGTCAGGCACTGGGTGCCGCGTGTTATGTCCAGGCCCAGGTTCGGAAGAACTATGAATTTTGATAGACTTTCAAGTTAATTTCATGATAAAAACCAATCGAGAGGGATAATAATACCACGATACTTGTTTTCGATCCGATGATTAGCCGCTAAAACCACATAAAGATACTGATTTCACAACAAATTAAGTTTAATTTTTATTTTTAAAAGGCTAATAGGAGTAATAGAAGAAGCAATTTGTCCAATTTACCACCTTTAAAGCCTTAGTTAAGACTTATGTTTTGGCTTCTTTAGAATGGTTGAAGAAAAATGACAGGACCGTTAAAGAATTCTCTTTCACAAAATCCCCCACAATAATGTTAGCTTATTGATATTTTTTTTGGTGTGTGTTTGGGGAGGTGGGGGGGGGGGGGGGGGGGGGGGGGGGGCCTGCACCCTATATCTTATCTAATTCAATTATTTCATTGATTTGATGATGAAATTCGCTTAGCCTTTAAGTTTCAAGCTAGAAGGTCTTGAAAGCTGAGATTGATTCAAAATTTAAACTTTATGGGTTCAACCTATGGGTTTTTAGCAATGAATCAATTATATTCTTAAAGTTATAAGTTCATATCTACCATTTGTTATAATTTTTATGAATTTTTACATATAAATTTGTACTCCACGTTAAAAGTATTGAATTCAAATGAACTTGGTTGGATATTCAAGCCTTTTAGATAGTCAACAAGCACGGATATATAGACTGGCATCTTAATTAGAATAAGAAAGCTTGTTCCAGATCAAGAATTTGCAGAATAATCTGTGGTAAGACCAGGATATTTTAACTAGTAATCAGGCCGGTGGCAAAGTTCTTTATGCAACTCATGCATGTGACTTAAACTTGTTTTTATTCCTGCAGTCATCTGTAATTCTGCCCAACGTTCTACCGTGGAATTCTGGATTTAAATTGAAGTGAATTCACGAGAAGCCTAGTTTCTACACTGTCTTTACCTCCCTGTAACAAGTACAGGCGGATTCAAAATCTGATGGATTTAATTTTTAAAAATTCGTAGTATTGAACTTATTACACTTCTGAATGAGTTCATATTTAATATTTTTAAAATTTCAGTATTATATATATATATTCATGTTATGGGTCAAAAATAATGGGTTTGGTTGATCTTCGGGCTAATAAGCTACACAGCCGTACTGGTAACAACATGCTACGAATTCTTTGAAACTCTCTATTGAACGGTCAAGAGTTTTGTCCTAAACAATGAAGGTCTATACAACTTAGATTGAGCTGGCAATTCTTCCAAGATTAATACTATGAGAAGTCCAGTCTTTAGGATGAGGTAGGAACACAAGTTAAGCCAAAAACAATTTCTGGCTGGAGTCAAAATTCTGTTAGCTTTTTAATTTGTTATTGTCCACATTAGTAAACACAACCAAATTGACAGCACTTTTTTTGTTGTTGTATCTTTGTTATGTTTCATATGTCCTATTGGAGAGTGAAATCATTTTCAATTTGCACACGCTTCTTTAGAAAATCTTAATAAGCACTTCAAAAGAAGAAGAAAAACAAAGACAATAAAAAAGCACTTAGCTTCAACACTGAACATATATATATATATATATA